AATGTACAAACAAAGGAGCAAAAAAAAATCATAACTCATAAGTAGCAGGAGATATTTGTTCACTGAACATACACCAACGTACCAAACTATGGACAGTTATGAGAACTAAACAAATAGGAAAAAATAAGAGTACCCTGTGGATCTTCATCTTCATATAAGCACGAAATCAAATGCCCATAGTAGTACACACACACACACACACACAGAGAACTCATTTCTTAGTTTAAGGCAATACCAAATCACATATGTATGATGAAATCTAAGACAACACAAAAATATAATTCATCAAACTCCCATTCCAAAATCACACAATCGTTATGAAAACCAAACCCTAATTAAGCACTTGTAGATTTACGTGTATAGAAGAGAGAGGGCTAAGTCAAGATCCTTTGGGACATTTTGTCGAACAGCTTATAGGTCGTAGTTGATCATGCCATTTTGAGAGAGAGAGATAATTGGGTTTGGGTGTGAGTGTGACAGAGGGGTTCCAGGTGTGAGAAGAGAGAGGGGGAGAGAGAGATACCTAGAGAGCCTGGGAAGAAAGGCATCGCTGATGGCGTCTTCACTGGTTGTCGTAGGTGTCACTGGGAGTATGAAATGAGGGGTGTTTGTGTGCTCTATGTGTGTGCATGTGTTATATGTGGGATGTGATATGTGTGCGTTTTTTTTTTTTGATTAAAAATCAAAATCTCATATTGGATTGGAACATGAAAAAAATGGTTGAAGTTCAGAACCTCATGTAAAGTCTGCAAAGATGTACAAATTGGAAATGCATAGACAGCAAACCTAAATATGGTGTTGATGATATTGAAACACAAAAGCTCGGACCTACAAACGAAAATCACAAACTAAACACTAAATAAACATCAAACTAACAATTCAATCAGCAATCATTTGTTATGCACAGTTATCACAATAATAATAATAATAATAAGCATTGAGTTTAATGTACAAACAAAGGAGCAAAAAAAAATCATAACTCATAAGTAGCAGGAGATATTTGTTCACTGAACATACACCAACGTACCAAACTATGGACAGTTATGAGAACTAAACAAATAGGAAAAAATAAGAGTACCCTGTGGATCTTCATCTTCATATAAGCACGAAATCAAATGCTCATAGTAGTACACACACACACACACACAGAGAACCCATTTCTTAGTTTAAGGCAATACCAAATCACATATGTATGATGAAATCTAAGACAACACAAAAATATAATTCATCAAACTCCCATTCCAAAATCACACAATCGTTATGAAAACCAAACCCTAATTAAGCACTTGTAGATTTACGTGTATAGAAGAGAGAGGGCAAAGTCAAGATCCTTTGGGACATTTTGTCGAACAGCTTATAGGTCGTAGTTGATCATGCCATTTTGAGAGAGAGAGATAATTGGGTTTGGGTGTGAGTGTGACAGAGGGGTTCCAGGTGTGAGAAGAGAGAGGGGGAGAGAGAGATACCTAGAGAGCCTGGGAAGAAAGGCATCGCTGATGGCGTCTTCACTGGTTGTCGTAGGTGTCACTGGGAGTATGAAATGAGGGGTGTTTGTGTGCTCTATGTGTGTGCATGTGTTATATGTGGGATGTGATATGTGTGCGTTGGTGTATGCGTTTGTAGTCCGGTGTGTATGTGTGTGTGTGAGTCGTGAGACAAGGAGGGTGATGTGTGTGTCGTGAGAGAAAGAGGGGGGATTACCAAGGTGACGACAGAGAAGCCATGGCAGAGCGAGCGGAGAAAGAGAGAAGGAGAAACGATGCCTAGTCTAGGAAGAAGGAGAAACGATGTCTGTGTGTTAGACAGAATGGGTGACATGTGGGTGTAGTTAAATTGGGCGGAACTTTATTTTTGTGTGAGATGTGTTGTGAGCCATTGGATTAATTTTGATAAATTTAGATAAAATCTAAACTATTTAATTTAAAATGAATTCAATCTGAATTATTATTGTGTTTTTCATTTTTAAGATAGAGACGTATGAGAGATAAGAGTGTAAAGTCTTACAATGAGAGACTTTTTCATGGGCAAAAAAAGAAATTCAAGACTAATTGTAAACCTTTAGATCAAAATTTTTGAGAGAATCTGAAACATTTTTTATGTTAAAATTACGTTGTTCGTTAGATCTATTTATATTTTGTCTCAAAACGATCTGAATTATTTTTTATTGTTTAGATTCAAACTTTATTCTATTTTATTATATACATATTAATAGGCAATATTTTAGTTAATAGGAAAAGACATTATGTTATGATTGTCGTCCAAGAGAGATTTGGCTTGGCTCATACGATCCTACCACACGGCGTGGTCTGCACCCTCGAGGGACCTCACACTAAATGAACACCAAATAAATATTTTTTCATAAAAATTAATAATAATAATAAATAATTGGACAGGCAAATAATGTCATTTAATAATAGAATGTCAAATCTGGTATCGTCCTAGCAACAACTAGAGTTACGCTTGTTAATGGTTTCTCAAAGTTGGAAACAAATATATCTGATTCGAATTATTTATATATTTTTTATATAAATATTAAAAAAATTAAAGAATTATTTAAAAAAAATTAGGGGATTATTTAAAAAAAATTAGGTACAACTTGTTAAACTTAGTTAATTAAGTTATTCACATTCGGATTGGGATTGTTAACAAATTTGGATATAGACCACGACAATAAAATCTGTCAGATTCAAATTAGACTTTGAAAATCAAATTCAGATCGGACTTTAAATTTAATCCAAACTTGATCCATTGACATGCCTACATGTAAGTGCACCACAGACATTTTGATTAGTAGAACAGACAAGAAGGTAAATCTTGATCAGTTTGAAGATGAGTCCTATTGTGTCGTTATCTACCCTCTCTCTCGATCAAGATCCCAGTTTGGACAAATTGTCAACTAAGTAACCGTAATCTACAATTATTACAAAACTTGCTAGATGTCCAGTTGAATTTGTTGGAACCGTTTATCATGTTGTTGTTGATGATTCTCCAAGAATTCAAGTATTGGAAGAACGCTTTCTATATAATCACCGTTACGAATAAAATTTCAATGCATTCATTTTCAGTTCTATTATATTAGTCTTTATTTTAATCAATTTAATATTCAATTTTATTAAATTAATTTTTTTTATTTAATTTAAACTAAATTAACATTTCATCTCATCAAATCAACACAAAATTAGTATTTAATTTTATCAAATTAACATTTAGTTATATTAATTTAATATTTCATTTCATCAAATTAATATTATTTCTTTAATTTAATATTAAGTTATTACTTATTTTTATCAAATCAACATCAAATTGACATTCAATTTTATTAAATTAAACTATTTAATTTATTAAATAGAATATTAAATTTCATTAATTTAAAATTTAACTTTATCAAATTAATGTCATTTCTTTTATTTAACATCAAATGAACATTTAATTTTATTAAAAAAATATTCAAATTTATTCAATCAAATTAATATTTAATTTTATCAAATTAAAACTAAATTAATATTTAAATTTATCAAAATTAAGATTAAATTTATTAAATTAATATTAAATAATTTTAAATTTTATATATGAAGTATGATGTGTGAGGAACGGTCGGACGACATTGTGGAGGACATATGATAGCAGAGGAATTAGAAATGGATGAGATTTTGACATTGACTTTATCAATTGTAATTTTTATTATAGAAAAATAATTTTTTAACTATAAAAATTATTATGATTAAAAAATATAAAAATTATAAAAAATTTGATTATGTAACCAAATGAGTGATAATATGATGACTAATATTATAACAAAGTTATAATATAACGTTTTAAATAAAAAATTTATTGGAATAACATAATGATTGAAATTACGTTTGTTGGCTAGCTAGCGCATATATAATGGGAAAAAAATTTATGACATTTTAGTCTATTTACATAATAAAGGGTAATTTTTGTATTTTCACAAAATATTTAGTTAAATTATTATTTGATTTGCTGATAGAGACAAAAGTTATTATTATAGGAGTTCTCATTGAATTTAGACTCAACTACATAGTGTTTAGATGAAATTTTCTCTAGATATAACATGTAGATATAATATGTCTTCTATATTTGTACTATATATATGTACAATAAAGATGTGTGTGTGATATGAACAGTAAAGATGAAGAACAATTGCATTAAGATAGAATTTTGAGAAGACATGTGTCTCAGTTTGGAAAAAGAATCATGAAAGATTAGAGTGTAAGAGACAGTCAATGTCTCAGTATAGAAAGTGATCCCTTAACATAGAAAATAAAATCAGAAAAATAATGATAAGAGTTGTAATATGCATTTTAGGGAGAGAGAGACAGAGTTGACGAATTAGAGATTGCTTAATTGCCGGATTTAATTGGGTTGGAAAAATAATTTAGGGATGTTAGTTTTGGAAACTAAAAGTTTTGAGCGATAAAAAATTTCAAGAGCTAATATGGTACGTCGGATCGAAACGATCTGAGACGTCAATAACTTGAGACAGTTTAAAATATCTTCGGCCGTTGGATGATGTCTTTTTTGATCTCGAAATAATCTGAGCCACTCTTTGTCTCTTGAATTCTAAATCGTTCTACTTTATTATATTTATTATATAGATTTATGTGATTTTATCTCTAATAAAAAAGTAAAGAATTCAAGATGTTGTTCTAATTTTGAATTTTAACAATTTTTTAAAATCAAATCATAAAAAATATCTCTATTTAATACTCTAATCATAATGTGAATGGTCTAACTTTGATCAGATAGAAGAGAAGATTAATTAGTGTACGTATTAACTAGTTTTGACACTCTTTATCGTTGAGCAAAAAAAATCCCAAAAGTTGCTCCACTTTTTAACCCGGAAAACCCGTAATTTTAAAATAATTCGACCGTTGTTCGGCTCCAAGGGCAAAAGNTGAGCAAAAAAAATCCCAAAAGTTGCTCCACTTTTTAACCCGGAAAACCCGTAATTTTAAAATAATTCGACCGTTGTTCGGCTCCAAGGGCAAAAGCAAGACCAAAAGACAACTAGCCGTTGCTTTGTTTTTTCCTCATTTCGTCAAAACCCTAACCCATCTCTTCATATTCCGTACATCAATAACTATCCGTGTATCATCAAACATCAAGTTTGAAGCAAACCCATTTCCTACTTTCGTTGATGGATGCAAACCCTTGTTTACGAAATTGAAATTGGTGCCCATTTCTCCCTTGGTTTCACAAACCCAAGGTTTTCTTGATCATATAGATTTAGAGATATACACTTTAGATTCAGAGTGGAAAAGGGTACATATGGGTTCAAGAACCGCAACCAAAGACATAATCACTCTCCGTGGATCGGCTGCAATAGTCAGTGAATTCTTCGGTATGTTGTTATCCTACTTTTTTATTTCTTCACATCTAATTTTCTACCGTTTTCTTTGGTGGGTTTTGTGAAGTTTCGAGAAATCGGGTATAACCTTGGTTTTTTTGCAACGATTTTTCAGGGTATGCTGCAAACAGGTATGGTTTAGGGATTTGTCAGATTTTAATTATTTTTGTATGTCTACTGATATAAACTTCGTGGGTGGTTGAAAATCTTTAATTTTGATTGGGACTTGTTTAGTATTCTGTACAATCGTGGGGTTTATCCAGAAGAAAGTTTTGCAAAGGTGAAGAAATATGGGCTTCCATTGTTGCTTACTCAAGATGAGGGTGTCAAATCCTTCATTGCAAACCTAACTGCTCAGCTTTCTGGTATTTTTTGATCTTCTCAAATTGTTTTTCGATTTTTTTGTATAAATTTGTGGGCAATTTTGGTTATGTGTTCTGACTTATTTCAATTTGAATCTTGTAAAGAATGGCTGGAAGGTGGGAAGCTACAAAGGGTAGTTCTTGTGATCATGAGCAAGTCAACAGGGGAGGTCTTAGAGAGGTGGAATTTCAGTATTGAGACTGACAGCGAGGTCATTGAGAAGGGGTAATATACTTTGGACCTCTTAGGCCATTTAATTTCTGCCAAATTTTCACAATGGATTTTGGTTTTTACTTTTTCTTACCCTTTGAATTTGATTTTCAGCATATCAAGGGAGAAGAGTGATAAAGAAATAATGAGAGAGATACAAGCAATTATGAGACAGATAGCATCCAGCATAACATACTTGCCATGCCTGGATGAACCCTGTAATGCTCACTATAAACCTAAGGGGCCTTATTTTGCTGTTACAATTTGCTTAATCAAATTTGTAATTTTGATTTCTGGTTTTTACTGCAGGTGTGTTTGATGTGTTAGCATACACTGACACAGATGTTGCAGTCCCATTTACTTGGATTGAGAGTGATCCTAAACTGATTGCAAATCCACAAATGGTGAAATTGCATTCTTTCGATACCAAGGTAACATCAGCCGGGCAATTATGCTTAAATCTAGATTGAGAAGTTCTTGTTAGGTAATTAAGTCTGTTTGGTTATGCAGATACACAAGGTTGATACCCTAGTATCATACAAGAATGATGAATGGGATGAGCAGTAAAGCCCGACTGCCCGACCTCTCTCTTTTGTTGGCTCTTTTTGTATCTCTGTTACATGTGTGGATTGTAAGTGTTTCTCTTTGACATGAGTGAGTTCTGTGAATCATTGATTCACTTTTCTGTAAGTTGAATGTGAGGGGAATGATGAATCATGCTATTGTGTTTTTTATCTGTGAGTGAATGTTGACATGAATTGAACAAATTGATTNTTCACTTTTCTGTAAGTTGAATGTGAGGGGAATGATGAATCATGCTATTGTGTTTTTTATCTGTGAGTGAATGTTGACATGAATTGAACAAATTGATTCAGTATTTGTCTGTCTTTACCCTGTTTTCCTCCAAGGCTGCGTACCATTTTAAAGCTTTTAGCTTCTCATTATTTTGGTAACTAAAACCAANTTCAGTATTTGTCTGTCTTTACCCTGTTTTCCTCCAAGGCTGCGTACCATTTTAAATAGCTTTTAGCTTCTCATTATTTTGGTAACTAAAACCAAAATGATGCTCCAGGATGCGTATATCCTTACATTCCCGGCTTCATTTTTAGTCTTGAACCACCATGGAGTTTTTGGAATCTACAAAAGAATTCTAGAAGAGGGATTGTAATGATCTTCTCAAAGATACATGAAGTGCTATTTATCTGTAAAGAAAAACGGAATTCCTCTATTTACACATAGTCAGCCATTAGATACTTAACTTAGCAACTTAAAACTCAGAATGATAAACTCAGGCTGGTTATAGTTGATTGTTGTTGTTTGGTATAATGAATGAGTTGGGCTGCATTTGGCATCAGATAAAGTTGTTTCATTGAAAGGTTTTAACAGAAAATCTACTAAACACACAAGCTTGTGCTCTACTATAGATTAGGTGACGTTCATTCGGACAACAGAGTCTGATCTTAAATTTGCAATTGCAGCAGTCATAAAACATCAGTATAATGCAACACTTCTATAACAGATCATATTGCACAATGAATATGAAATAAAAATGGCAGTTTTCAGAACAAATATAATCTCAATTTGACATACATATTTCCCTTCTTATATACCTGTTTTTGTTTTGATCCTTGCATGTTCTGGTTTTATGTATTGTCCTCTTGAACGGTTGTGTATTTTCTGCCACACCATATCATTAAGGTGTTGCAGAAAATTGAACTTGCAGAAAAATAGTATTTCGTCATGCCAAAAAATAGAAAACAGAATATAGCAAAAAAAAAATCAATATCATTATTGGAGAAGAGAGTGCCTCAGGGGTAGGCCTGGAATCAGATTTGGATCAAACTTTCTTTGACTTATCGTAATTCAATTGCAAAAATCCAATAGGTTTTATTTTAGTAGTCCATATCTGAATTGTTTAACAATTTAAAAATTCAATCAGATTCAAATTACTTAATTAATTAAATTTTAAAAAAATTACACCTAAAATATATAAATAATTCAGACTGNAATTCAATTGCAAAAATCCAATAGGTTTTATTTTAGTAGTCCATATCTGAATTGTTAACAATTTAAAAATTCAATCAGATTCAAATTACTTAATTAATTAAATTTTAAAAAAATTACACCTAAAATATATAAATAATAAATAATTCAGACCGAATCATAGTCAGATCAGTTATAAGTATGTCAAAATCCAAATTCGTGAAATATAAAATATCATATTTAAATTCAATTTATCAATAAAAAAAATATTAATTCATATCTGATTAATCGAATTCATATCAAAATTCAATGGATCGACAAACGTACTCACAGCGTGGGGCAGGGGGAGCAACCCATGCCTAGTAGTATCCCATCACAGCCAAGATATGCAGNTCATATTTAAATTCAATTTATCAATAAAAAAAATATTAATTCATATCTGATTAATCAAATTCATATCAAAATTCAATCGATCGATCGACAAACGTACTCACAGCGTGGGGCAGGGGGAGCAACCCATGCCTAGTAGTATCCCATCACAGCCAAGATATGCAGCTTATGGCAATATGCTTCATTTAAAAAAACCACTCAAGCAAAAAATATCAAAGTATCACACCATATCACAAAAAAGGGGCTATGTAGTTATGTAACTTGTACAAAACAAAACCCCAATCCATATCATGATATCATATAATATCATAAAACATCCAACGGCAGATATTCACATTTCAGCAAAACTGTATAAGATTATTAAGGCACTTCTATCACAATGAAGGCAGCAAAATATAACTTGGTCACATAAGAAGCTGAACAAGGCAAATATATATTGCGCTTCTGCTCTTAACTAATGCCACGATAGACTCCACCAAGGCAAAGCTCGTCCATGTTATCAATGTCCCTGTAACCATTATACTCTCTCAGACATGTCCAGCCCCGGCGAGACAGAAAGTCACGGAAATCATCTTCAGTGTAGAATGTCTTGTCCTCGGAGTGAACTGGCATGTGATCAGGCTCCTCGTACAAGCAAACTTTTATTGTCAGGCCTGAAAACAGGAATTAAAACGTTATTGCTGAACAAAAAACCTGACTGTTTTTTCATTAATAAATCAAAGGTTTACAATAATGCCCGTTTCGTGTCATTATGCTCCAACCAATATTAGCACTGTAATTCTGTAACATTGTGAACCGGTATAGATTATCCAACAAAAACAAATTTGGTGAATAAATAGTCGTAATATTGTAATTGTTTATCCTACAAAGACAAATTATAGATGTTTACTTCAGCGACATGAACAACAGTCTCAAGAGAACATAACAGTCATTACAATGACAATTCCATTCTCAAAATCCATCTTCTTTCAGTCACTATCATATGTAATTCAAAATTTTTGTCACTTTGTTGAAACTACGTATGCCTGATTTTAACTATACCTTCATCCACATGAAGAGTGTAGTTTCCCAAAGGCATATCCCTGTCAAGAGTCCGAACCACATTTTCTTCATCTTCCAGCCAAAAAGCACGTTTTGTTCTCAACCTAAAAGCAGATTTGATTGCTTCTTTGATGGCATCCGCAGTGCCATCGATTCCTATTCTTCTTGTATACTCCCCTAACTTGACTGATATGACCCTCCCGTTATACGAGTTGCTTTGATCACCTGCCAAAAAAGGGAAGGTGAGGAAAGAAAAGATGGCTTCAAGCTTCATTTTTACCAAAAAAAGATACATATGTTCCAAAAATTCCATTTCATGAAATAGCCACCAGGGATAGAGCAGATAGGCTGTGTTACTCGAGAATTGATGCACAATTGGTATAGATAATGAAAACAAAACCCTTTTCATCTCTACATCAGTGCTCAAATTGATGCACAAGTCATGCATTATGATGCTACTTCAACAGATTTACACCTTATGGTAGAAGACTGGAAACTAAATGCTTCATACAAAGAGCACGAGTCACCCAAAATAGGGTACATAGGCTACAAAAAAATTGATTGTGTGTGTGATTAGAGAAATCTATTGATAATCTCAGAAGATCACCAGAAGCAAATGAGCAAAAAAGAAAGGCAATATCAAACCCGAAAGGCTGCCCAACTTATCGATTTCCATGGCCAAAGTGCTAACACTAATATTCAATGTGATGAAAGAATCAAATGCTTTTCACTCTTACATAAGCCGTCAAATTGATGCAATGCATGAGTCCTATAGTATGATGCTCCTTTAACCTTTTTCTCATTTTTTCAGTGGAATATATGGTATAAAACAACTCACAGGCTTTGCATTTAATTTACAGACTAACCGTTTCCAGGAGTCTCTCTCCAATTCCAAGGAGAAACTCCACCGGCTGCCACAGCATCAGCTGCAGTGATGGCAAGAGGAAGCCCATCATGATCCAAACGTCTTTCTAGATTGAGAGTTGGCCTGCCATTAGCTGTACACCAGGAATTTCAGAATGCAAAGTTGCCTTCTTTTCTTAAATTAGAAACATAAGAATGCTGGAATCACAAAAGATGGGGCAAAAACCCCAAGGACAGTCCAAAAGGAACAAGTGATCATGTCGACGAACTTGCTAAAGTGACCATATTGCGCAACCTAGTACAATAATTTTAACCAATTTAAGTTTCCATGTTCCAAAAGGAACTATTGGAATGTGCGCTTATCATGGTCAAAACATATAATGAGGGAACAACTCATTTGCAAAACTAGTGACATGAAGAGATGTGCTAGGTAAAGATAAAGGCATTACCTATAGTAAGGAGAATAAGTGGAGACAAAACCTGAGTTACTGGTAAACAGACAACAGAGAATGGTACCACAAAATTGTCAAGAGTACTACCAGCAGTCTCTGGAAAACAATTTGAACACATCTTTTTTTTTTTGTTTAATACATTTTTGGTATGTTGGAGTAGCCTCAGGTTGCTTAGATGCTCCTTGGAAATTGGAATGATGTTCCCACTATGTCTGCCATGAGGAGAAATTGAGCACGCAGCTGGAAGTTCCAGAAAAATTAACAAACCTATCTTCCCCCCAAAATAACATTTTTACTGAACTGTCTCATCTACATGACTCAAAAAACATACCACTTTGGTTTACAAGAGCATTTCAAAATGCTTCAACCTAACAACAGGCCAGCAATAGTATTCACGAGCTTAGCCATAAGCACAGATGATTGGTTCACTTACCAAACAAGCTTATGCTTGGCTCACTTAACCAGAAAATGAGCTCCTACAAAGTGTAACTAAGTAACTAGGCTGACCCTAGATGCTCATGAGTCACAACTGGGAGGTTGGGCAGTGACCATTCCACATATAAGTGTTGTAATCCATAACAATACAGGAGAAAGCACCAGCATCATCTATAAGACAATAATCACAGTAGTATCCAGCAATTATAAGTATCAACTGTAAAAGCAATCTGTTTGCTGAAAAAATAAATTCCCATGGCATACCTTCCACAGGTCCAAATGTAATATTGGAATCGTCAAGGCCTGCACAAAAAATAAATAAATAATCAAGCAGAAAGCAGGACTAATAGCATTGTTAAGAGCTTAGATACAAAGCCTTTTTGGTTGCTAACTAAAACTTCTCCANATAAATTCCCATGGCATACCTTCCACAGGTCCAAATGTAATATTGGAATCGTCAAGTCCTGCACAAAAAATAAATAAATAATCAAGCAGAAAGCAGGACTAATAGCATTGTTAAGAGCTTAGATACAAAGCCTTTTTGGTTGCTAACTAAAACTTCTCCAAAATAAAGTGATAGTGACGGTTTTCTCAGAAGAACAAAACAGAAGAATGCAGTAGACGCAATTATCCAAATCAAACAGGAATAATTGAACAACAATTGCACAATGTCACATCAGACACACATTAAAACAATTAAAAGGATGAGATACAGAGAAAATAAAAGTTATGTGTGCAATTGATGTACTGTAATTCCCCAAGCATTTTCCCCTAAATGGATCACAACATGCAGTGACTTAGGAATGGTAGGAAGACATGATTTAAGGAAGTAAAATTTTCATTTTTCTGTTGGAGAGTTTAACAAGAATCATCACCAAATAATTGACTTAAAAACGTAAGATTCGAAACTCAGAGAACTTCTTTAAAGAGTCTAAGAAGAGCATAAACCATACTTCTTTGTGTGGTCTAAGCTCTAAACGAAGCTGGACCACCACTCAAAAGAAACAGCTAACTATGCTACAGAAGTAGCATGATCATAATAATCATGACATCTGTGGTTTCAAGAAAACGACTTTGGTGGTTTCCAGATAATTGAGCTGAAAGAATTTGCTAGTTTGGCAAATAATCTAGACCATCATTGTTCTTTAAACAAGTTAAATAAACCAGGCAGTCATTACCATCAACTGCTTCACGAAAGTTCAACATCTCAGTGGCAATATCCTCTGGTTCCTACATTTTCTCAGCAACCAAAACCAGCTCCTAAATTGTAAAACCCACTACATATACAATATTGCTCCTCTGAAATCACCACAAACTCCGTATGTATAGCACTGAGAAAACCAATTGAATCACAAACTAACACCTAATTCTACTTGTTTTCCACTCCATTTCCCACACTTACTAATCAACAAAAGATAAACCCAAATACTATCAAAGACAAATTGTATAAACCTTTTATCAAAGAACATAAACTATCAAAAAAAATTCAGTTCACTAACACATCGGTACAAAACCAACTAAATACCTTTAAAAAGCTACCAATTGAACTCCAAAATTCATCTATTTCCCTTCAATTTGTCAGCAATTACATAGTGACAGTAACAGTCCATTGAATAAATAAAAAAAGAAAATGACCTTTTATTACTAAATTATAATACCACAATTCAACTCACCAACACCCGAAACCTAACCACAAATTGACCTACTTTCCTACAATTTGACAGCAACCAAACAGTAACCCAACCACAAAGGCATAATTTGATACCTTTATCGGAGAATTGCAGATAAGAATCGACCTTGGAATTCACCGAATTCTTAGTGTTATAGTTCCCCGACCCACCATTCAAACTCTTACTCCTCTCTCTCAGAATCTCCTCAATATCCTTATAACACGACATCTTTGCCGACCCGTTACTCCCATTTTGGCCCTGCTGTTGCTTCACCTTCTTGAACTCCTTCAACAAGTTCCTCCACTTGTCCGTACACATGGTGGGCGACCGATCAAACCCTTTCTCTCTCATCTTACCCGATATTTGCTCCCACAAATGCTTGTTGGACTTGGAAGTGTTGAACAAAGAGTCGATTTCGCGACGAAGGCCGACCAGAGTTCGGGTCTCTTCTTGCACCCAAGTCTCGGCTCGTTTTTTGGGGACTTTGAGCTCTGGATTGTCTTCATCGCCGCCGCTGCTGTTGTCGGCGACGAGAATTTGGTGGTGGTGAGGTGGCAGATTGTTATTGGATGAGACTTCGATGATCATGTTTTGGTGATTTTGGGGGTCGTCTTCATCTTCTTCTTTGTAGAAGTCGATGGATTGAGGTTTTTCGGATATGGCGTTGTACATGGTTCTCTCACAGAACTGTGAAGGATTACACTGAGAAGACTTTGTGAATTGTGGTCTGGGTATTTCTTTCTGGTTACTGATACAGCCGATACGGAAAGAGGAAAGTGTGCTTTCAGTCCTATCGTCGCGATAAAATATAAAATCTGATAGTTTAAAAAATTAATACTACTATACTAATTTACTAAATAATATTTTTTTATTTTTTTATTTGATTATATCATTTAAAATTAATTTTATCTATTATTTTTTTTAAAAATAATATCAAAATTTTCTCAAAATGTATAACTCGACAATTTTTTTTTAAAATTGTTAATTTTGTTTAATATGACAAAATTAATAAATGAATTATAGCCGAAGCCAAAAGAAATATTTTTTATATAATAAAGTAGAACAAAATTTGAATCCTTCAAAGAGAGGTCCAAATTGTTTTAAGACAAAATATAAACACATTCAACGGATAATGTAATCTCAACATAAAAGACGGTTCAGATCATCTCAAAAATTATGATCTTATGATTATAATTAGACTTAACTTTAACACTTTTATATCTCATATAACTCTCTCTCTCTTATCTCGTAGACATTTTAAACACATTATCTCATCTTCTCTTTCTCTCTCTCTCTCTGTCTCTCTCTCTATATGTATATATATATAAAATAAAATAGTTAAATTCAAAACCAATCTAATCGTCATCACCATTTCCTCACAAATAAAAAGTATAAATATACAATCTATAAATAAAATTATAAAATTATTATTCATACCCAAAATAAATCACTACTATATGAAAACATGTAGTTCTCAAAAAAGCAAAAAAAAAAAACAAAATCCAATCTAATCACTAATAAAAAAAATAAGTGACTAATAAAAAATAACAAGTATTACCAATTGCACAAAAAAATTTCAAAATCAATATAATTGTCATCACCACTTTCACACAAACAAAAAATACAAATATCCAATACATAAGTAAAACATTCGAACTATTATTCATACCTAATCACCCCTTTGTTCAAAATTACATGAAAACTTATAGTTCTCAAAATTTTAATTTTTATTGAAAGTGAACAAAACATATTGTTGATTGTCATAAATGATTAGTTAAAAGAATATCTATTACAAATTTTGTCAATGACAAAGCATCTCATTATTTCATGTTGATTATTTTTTTTGTTCAATTTTTATAACTAGGTAGTTATCAAATATTTTATGTTTAATTTTTATATCTGTGCAATTAGAAAATGTTTAACATTTATGCGTGTGTATGAATATTTATGATTTTTTCGTATTGGTTTAGTAGTGTATGCTTTGGCAATAGTTTGTTGTTTTTAATTTTTAATGTTCGTGTGATTTAGTTGTGGATATATTGTTATTAACTGATTGTTGTTAAATCTTATATGTTAAAAGTGTATTGTTTGTATTTTGATTTAAGTTGGTTTTGTTTAATTTCTAATTTTACGATAAAATTTTACATAAAATTAAAAATATTTCTATTAAACACACATAAAATACATAATATCTTTAAGTTTAATGTTTATTTTTTCAAGGTTTGTCAATTTACGTTTGACCCCAATAACCTCATACACACCATCACTACAACACAAAAAATCAGTACCCAAATGAATAATGTCACCATTTTTTGACATGTAAGTTATTTGATNCTCTTATCTCGTAGACATTTTAAACACATTATCTCATCTTCTCTTTCTCTCTCTCTCTCTGTCTCTCTCTCTATATGTATATATATATAAAATAAAATAGTTAAATTCAAAACCAATCTAATCGTCATCACCATTTCCTCACAAATAAAAAGTATAAATATACAATCTATAAATAAAATTATAAAATTATTATTCATACCCAAAATAAATCACTACTATATGAAAACATGTAGTTCTCAAAAAAGCAAAAAAAAAAAACAAAATCCAATCTAATCACTAATAAAAAAAATAAGTGACTAATAAAAAATAACAAGTATTACCAATTGCACAAAAAAATTTCAAAATCAATATAATTGTCATCACCACTTTCACACAAACAAAAAATACAAATATCCAATACATAAGTAAAACATTCGAACTATTATTCATACCTAATCACCCCTTTGTTCAAAATTACATGAAAACTTATAGTTCTCAAAATTTTAATTTTTATTGAAAGTGAACAAAACATATTGTTGATTGTCATAAATGATTAGTTAAAAGAATATCTATTACAAATTTTGTTAATGACAAAGCATCTCATTATTTCATGTTGATTATTTTTTTTGTTCAATTTTTATAACTAGGTAGTTATCAAATATTTTATGTTTAATTTTTATATCTGTGCAATTAGAAAATGTTTAACATTTATGCGTGTGTATGAATATTTATGATTTTTTCGTATTGGTTTAGTAGTGTATGCTTTGGCAATAGTTTGTTGTTTTTAATTTTTAATGTTCGTGTGATTTAGTTGTGGATATATTGTTATTAACTGATTGTTGTTAAATCTTATATGTTAAAAGTGTATTGTTTGTATTTTGATTTAAGTTGGTTTTGTTTAATTTCTAATTTTACGATAAAATTTTACATAAAATTAAAAATATTTCTATTAAACACACATAAAATACATAATATCTTTAAGTTTAATGTTTATTTTTTCAAGGTTTGTCAATTTACGTTTGACCCCAATAACCTCATACACACCATCACTACAACACAAAAAATCAGTACCCAAATGAATAATGTCACCATTTTTTGACATGTAAGTTATTTGATTTATCGATTTTTTCAAAACCTTTGGTATAATATTTCATTAAAAACTATTATATACTTACTACATAATTTTTTATCCTTCTTATTACAAATTGATTCACACTTAGAATACACCGTAAGTAGATCTTCTTATCACGCATCTTAGTAACGGTGGTTGATATTTACTTTTTACTTCTTATTAATCAATGAAATTTAAATTGTCTTTATAATCCATAATTAAAATCATCAATTTATTATTCATACCAAAAATAAATCACTACTATATGAAAATCTACAGTTCTCAAAAAATTTAAAAAAATATCCAAAACCCAAGCTAATCAACAATTAAAAAAAAAAGGTGACCAATACAAAAAAAATAAAATATCAATTGCACCAACAAAAAATGTTCAAAACCAATCTAATCGTTATGTATTGAAATTATTTAAATATTCTATCGTTGTGTGTTGAAATTTTATAAGAATATAGTGTCTTTAGACACGGACAATGACTAGTACATATATATAAAAGTAGAGTTGAGTTTGAATTTTGGAGACAAAGAGAAGTCCAGATCATTTTGAGACAAAACATTAACACATTCAACGGACAACATAATTCCAACATAAAAGACAGTTCAGATCATCTCAAAAAATTTGATCTAACGATTTACAGTTAGTCCTGAATTTGTTTTCCCGCCCACGAAGAAGCCTCTAATCGTAAGACTCTACACTTCTATCTCTCATATGTCTTTATCTCTCTCATACAGATTCTCTCTCGTCAATCTATATTTTGCAATTCAAATCTTGCTTCTCATCACAAGACTCTACGGGTCTATACTCTTTTTATCCCTCATACGTCTGTTATCTCTCTTAGCTTTTTTCTTAGTGTTTATGTTTCCTAATATCTCTCTTCTCTCTCTTATCACAGTCTCCCTTCTCCAATGTAAATGTAGCTTCTCTTTCCTTTCCCATTTCTCTTCTCTCTTATTTTCCATCTCTTATGGTCGCTGTCAACGCCACCAATAGCAACCTGAACGAAGCAGCCACCGTTATCCCGCCACCCAATAGATACCGCGATGCAACCATCCATTGATAATAGCATCGCAACGCTAACAAGCACAGTGATCCATAATCGACCTGGTATGCCTCCCTTTCCACCCATCTCTCAAAGTTTGTGTTTATATGTGACATTGTTTGTTTAGGGGTCGGGGTCAGATTAGTTGATGAAAGATTTGGTTGTAAATTTTGGGTTTATGGCCACGTAGTACCAATGTTTGGAGATTTTAGGGTTTTTAATTTTTATTTGTTTAAAGTGTAGCAATCTTCTTTGATTGCGAATCTATTTTCTTTCAATGAATTTGTGTAGATTTTGATTCCTTAAGGGATTGCAGAACAATAAGATCCAATAGAATGTTATCCAGAGTAAACGATCTCTTCAAATCCAATTTTCATGAAGTCAAATGGCGCAATCGCCTACCTGAAGGTCGAAATCATATTTTGAAGATAGAGCTTTGGCAGGATCTGGGAGACTAATGATTTCAAGTGGTCTTCCACAATTCATCCCAAGAAGCATGCGGCTAACTTCTTGCATCACTTGAACCATATGATCATGATAATCTCGAATTTCATCAATAGAAGCTTCACAAACAATATTGGTTGTTCTAGATTTTGGTCGGAGATGAACTTCACCAACGCAGTTGATTGTTGTTATTTTGTTAAAAAGGAAAAAAAAGGGACCACCATTGATGCTTCCTAGACTTCAACATTTTGGTGAAATGGTGGAAGGGAGTGTGATTTTATTGCTGAAATTTTTATTCAATCCAATCTTGAAGTTTCATACGGGATCAAAGCTATCGTACGGGGTCAATGCTAGATATTACAATTTCATTCCCCCTAAATCCTGAGAATCTATTCGGTTAATGTTGCCTAGAATTGGAGTTGTTAGAAATTATTATAAAGGTTATGGAGAGAAAATATTCTCATCGGTGGTAATTTCTATATAACTATAATGTGGGTTTTGTTAATTTATTAGAGTAGACATTAATTTAGAAATAGTTTACGTCATTTTGTTGTGTGATGAAAGTTGTTTGGGATTGAAATATTCTATAGACTTTTTAAAATTTTTGAGAAAGTGATTGTCCCACAATTTTATATTTGACATATCATTTTTTCAAGTATTCCTATGGTGCAGTTGTTGTGGTTAATTATTCATGCACGAAAGATTGGTTTTCACTTGATTTAGATGCATAAAAAGAGAGTATTTATTTTTTATAATCTCATCTATTTTATTTGATCCTTTTTTGTACATGGAGTATAGTTTGGTTTGTGGGTGTTAATTTAGAATAGGAAACACAAATGGATTTGATTGGTGAAATTAAACTTAAAGAATGATACATGGGGTTTACAATTTATTTGTATGATTGATATTTTATAGAAGGTGAATTGTGTAAGCAATTTTTTATAGATCGTCTATACAAGTTAATATTTTATTGAGGTTCTATTTTTAAGGGAACTTTTGTCCAAATCTTTTAAAGGAACAAAGAAAAATGGTTTTCATTAATAATTGATGATTTTTTATTTGGCATAACATAGTATTTTCAAACACAGACATTTCTTTTAATAGCATAAGGTTTGTAAATTTCATCAAGTTAAATTTTGAGCATATATATAAAATATGGGTATATTATGAGTGTAGTTTAGGCTTCTAACTTAGTGCATGTCAAGTTCAATGCTTAATTTTTTCATGTTTTCGATCGATGTTAATTTTGTTTGAATTAAATTGTACATTCAGACACGGGTTATCGCTAATATTTATATAATAAAATAGAATAAAATTTGAATTTAAAAGACAAAAAGAGGTTCAGATCGTTTTAAGACAAAATATAAATACATTCAACGGACCACGTAATCCCGTCATAAAATACGGATCAAATCATTTAAAAAATTTTGAACTAACGGATCAGAGCGAGTACTATATGTTTCTTTACCGCCCAAGTCTCTGTCTCACGCCTCTCCCTCTCCCTTCTGCCTCTATCTCCCAATCTATCACGCTCCTATCACATGGAATCCATCTCAAATCTTTCCCCAATCTCAAATCTCACTGGCCTCACAAACCGCCTAAGACTAAGAGGGCAAGGCTTAATTTCCTGGGCAGAGGGCTTCATTTGATTCTCCATTGTTGTTGATCGGCAAGGTAAGTTTATTTCAAGATATCCATAAGAACTACTCTAATTCCTTCAAAGAAAGCTTCTATATTTTGTTGTTGTTTTTAGTTTCCCCCTTTTTATTCTGGACTTTTGTTGATTGATACTTAGGTGGTTTCGGTTTGATAGAATTTGTTTCATGGCTCTGAGTTTTATATATACTCACCACATGTTTGATGAAAGTTTTGAGAGAGCTTTGTTCATGTTCGTTCTTCAATTTTTTCCTTTTTTTCTTATGTATTAATTTTCGAATAGTGGAATGGCATTTGGGATGTGGATTTTAATATTTATGACTGCCTATGATTGAGGCCCATCGTTGTTCACCCTATTTCCTTTTTTCCCTGTTCGTTCTCCATTGTTGTTCACCCTATTAATGACTGCCTGTGATTGAGGAGTTCTAACTGCCTGTGATTGAGGAGTGTTGTGCATCATTCTTAAGGAGTTATAGATTTGTGCTTTGAACTGTGCTGTTTTTTGGGATAGGAGTTCTGGATTTTTGTTTGTCGACGGTCTCTTACTCGCTGCCATATTTGTTGAATTTTTTGGTCTAAGCAACGTCTTCGGGCATGAAGACTTGGATGTTTGATGTTTTTTCAGTTTATGTTTGGCTGATGAACTGGTTTGCTGATCTGTTCTGCTTCAATAGCTATCTGCTATTCTGGCAGATGACTGCTGTGAGCTGAGCTGTGAGAAGGAGCAGAAGCTGAGCTGGGGTTCTGGAGTTTTGTGCCCATGAGCTGAAATAGCTTTTTTTGTCCAAGTTACGTCTTCGGGCATGAAGACCTCAGTTTGACCTCTTCTAGCCAATGTTCAAGATTAGCCGATGCTTCTGATACAAAAAAATAAAAAAGAGAAAAGAAAAGAGTAGGAGGATTCCTTGTTTTGATTTTCATATCACCCAAAAAAAAGCCCCAACAAGATAAAAAGGTATACAAATGTCAAAGTTAATACTGCTTTCTTGATCTTTTTATATCACTCATGGTGGTTGACATTGAAAAAGGATAAGAGTACAAAAAGCAAACATAAAGAATTAAAAAGAAAATGCATGCATGTCCACGTGGAGTGTATGCCATGTGAGTGGGATTTTTGGTGTCTCAAGCAATAGCAAGTGTAAATGGCAGAACGTAATAAAGAAGAAAGAATTCACAGTTGTCCAAACCATGCCTATATGGTATGTGAGGTGTAAAATTGACTCTCTATTTGATAATGTAAAACGTGTCACTCTATTTCATGAGCTTGGAGTGAGTCATATCTAAATGCATTATGTGTGTCAATTCTCTTGCTAATGCTCATTTATTTTAATTAGAGATTTATTTTGTTTGTTACATAGTGATTTTAGGCACGGACATTTTATCAAAATTGAGTACAATCTTTTGGTTATTATGGCTGATATTCTGAGTTGGGTGTGTTATGGATCAATAAGGTGAATTTTTGAATGAATTTATTTCTTTGTTTGCCCTTTTCTTTTGTTTCAACAATTAATTAATTTATTAATTTTTCACTTTATTATTGGTATGCAGATATAGAAAAATAGTTTTTTTAGGTGCTGATGTTAATTTCTTAAACTTAGAGGTTGGAGTTTTTGAACAACTGAGGGGTATGAGGTCTTGATATTTACCAGTTTCTCATTAGTTTGCATTATTTCATTGAGCTTTTATGGGTTTTTATTGGTTTTGCTATATTGATACGAGTTTACCATATAATTATGCTTCGTTGGAATAATACAACTATTAGTTTCATGTATACGTGACACTAATTTTAATCAATGCTATTTGGCTAATATTATGTGCTTTGTTTTCAAGTTAACGACCAATGTTATCTGTTTGATGCTTAAAAGAAGATGAATTTATTAATCACTATAATCTTGACCATGAGCATATTTATTCATGATACTGGGGTGTCCTCATTATTGCCTATTAGCGTATTTCTTGGCTTTTGTTGGATATTGAATTAGTCTTTGTAAAAACGCCAGTGTTATTCATTGACTTGGAGTTGATGGTTAATTCTTGATTGTCAACTTCTCTTGCAACGATATGCAGTGAGGATGGTTGGCTTGGATCCAAACATTCAGCACACATTGCCAAAATTTTGATAAATGTTCATTCATGTTTCTCCAAATGAGTTCTCTATTTCTCCAAATGAGTTCTTTATCCATGTTAAACTGAAAGAATAACCTGAAACAACCACAATTATAACATCCTGCAATTAGATGCTTAAAACAAAGTAGCAGCTGGAACATTCACTGTTCAGCTGCAGCCCTCAATTCATTCAAGAAAACAGCTCCTCTCTCTTTCCAGTTGTTACTTCTCAGCTATTAAGTGCAGCTGAACCATTGTTTCAGCTGACATTTCTGAGTCTTCCACCTGGAATTTCAACTTTGTACTGCATTTTCCCTAATGACCAGTGGAAATGGTGAATGATGTAATGTTTCTCACATGCATTTTCTTCCTCACTTGACTGTCATTTTTTTTTTTCATTATTTTGTTGTTTATATTTTTTTTTGCAGTATCCTCTTTTTTATTACTCAGACTATGAACGATAAAAAAGCTNACATCCTGCAATTAGATGCTTAAAACAAAGTAGCAGCTGGAACATTCACTGTTCAGCTGCAGCCCTCAAAATTCATTCAAGACAACAGCTCCTCTCTCTTTCCAGTTGTTACTTCTCAGCTATTAAGTGCAGCTGAACCATTGTTTCAGCTGACATTTCTGAGTCTTCCACCTGGAATTTCAACTTTGTACTGCATTTTCCCTAATGACCAGTGGAAATGGTGAATGATGTAATGTTTCTCACATGCATTTTCTTCCTCACTTGACTGTCATTTTTTTTTTCATTATTTTGTTGTTTATATTTTCTTTTGCAGTATCCTCTTTTTTATTACTCAGACTACGAACGATAAAGAAGGTTAATTTGTCACTATGTAAGTTCCTTTCTTTGCTCCACCACAGGTTCATTTTTTGTTTTCTTTGCTTAGTTATGCATGTTTTATTTACTTTATGATTTTTAGTTAATGTTACCGAGTTTCATGTAAGCAACTCTTACTTCAATTTGAAGAACTGAATTTTCTATTTGAACAGAGTTAGAATGATTATAATATGTGCTCCATTTGGATAATAAGTTATCATAGTGGATTTTTTGGTTTTATTTCATTTATTTTTTTGGTTTGATTCCATNTTTATTTACTTTATGATTTTTAGTTAATGTTACCGAGTTTCATGTAAGCAACTCTTGCTTCAATTTGAAGAACTGAATTTTCTATTTGAACAGAGTTAGAATGATTATAATATGTGCTCCATTTGGATAACGAGTTATCATAGTGGATTTTTTGGTTTTATTTCATTTATTTTTTTGGTTTGATTCCATTTGTTGATTGATTCTGTTCTCAATTTTTTCTTTCAAT